CCGTCGGAAATCCGTCAGTATTTCCGACGGATTTCCGACGAATTTTTATTTCCGACGAGATAGAACCGACGGACCAAAACCGTCGGAAAGCCGTCGGAATAGGGGTTATTCCGACGGATTTCCGACGGTTTTAGCCGTCGGAAACGACCCTGTTTTCTTGTAGTGGTTGTATTACTTTTCCGAGGTTTCATAGGACTCAATACCTACTACTATAAACAAACATACACAAAAAGATGAAATTGTCCCCTTTTCATCTGATGGAAACAAATAGAATGGGATATGTATGGTCCATAGACTCATAATAAAGATTGTCCAATTCTACGAAGAGGAAAAAACAACCGAGAAGAAGTGTATGGTTTTGCCACTATCTTATCTTACTTTCTTTTGTTATTTTCTTATTAGTTGTCCACACAAATAAGGACAAGGACATTGTTAGATTCGTAGGTAATAGCTCATATATGGTACATTATGTACATACTAGGGGAGGACTTATTATTCGGGATCTGATATCTGATCCAGTATCCGTTTCGAAAATTAAAATACTAGGGAGTTCGAATCCGGATAAAGATGATAAAATCTAGAATATGTGAAAAGAGGATCCGGATCCGGATAGCAAAATTTTAAGGTCCGGATATCCGGATCCAAACGCATTAATTATATTAAAAACATATATATATATAAAGCTATTTTTATATAAATATATATATATACATATATATTGATTTTAGTTCTTTTTATAATATATTATATTTATTATGGAAAATATCATTCAAAATTTTAACTAATAATTTTTAAAAACTTATTTATTTATTTATTATTTTAAATATTTTAAATATTAATTTCGGATACAGATTCGAATCCGGATATCCACGGATATCCTGATTTTTGATCGGATATCCGGACTTTGGATATTCGGAGGCCACAGATCCGGATCCGGATATCCTGAAATTTCAAGATATTTGGATTCGTCCCACCCTTAGTACATACAAAAATGACAACCTAGTGGTGTAGTTAAGTGGTAAAAGGCCATGTCTCCACTAACTCGTTCTTTTTTTCCACACGTTCCATTCTCTTTAAAAGAAAATTTACCTACGTTTGATCATGACATATTTTAGGTTTATTAAAAAATCCGGTGAGTAGGATAGACACTGATGACTGAATGTTTATTCGGATCTAGGCTAGAAATAATGCGTTTTGAAATCTTTCTAGTCAAGACAACATGGAGTTCCATAATCAAAGCAGTGCATTTGAAATATGCCATCAGTATAATGTCCGTTTTACTTGATGGTTATATTGCGGTGGATTGACCTACATTTTTAAGATGTTAGACTTGCAAAAATGTATCACTTGGAGGTTTTTTTCCCGAAATTCCAATGAATAATAATACTACATGATTTGCAAATGGTGAATTATTGCTTTCACAGATCATGAAGAAGTTTAATGGTTGGACACATCACTTTCTAAGCTTTGATGGTCATTTAACGTTCATCTCTATTCTCTACCAAATGGCGTATATATAGTTGATGTAATCCCCTTCTCGAATGCTGGTCACAAATTAATGTTAGATGGTTGGAAGTTGGTGAGGTTAATTGATCCTCTTCTCTCTCTTTATGGTTCTTTTAATTATATCAAATTCCTTGTAAAAAATTTCTGTTTTAATCATTCAGAAAATCCCTTG